TATTGTGTTCCATGTAGCCACGAAAAAATTAAACACGATTCATTTCGACCAAGTTAACTATACAGTGAACAACATCAAGACTCAAATGATTTATAATACGATATTGCCACGTAAGTTTAATATTCTGTACTCATTTTTTTTTTTCATAATATTATATATAATATAATAATTTATTATGATTATTAATACAAATTCCATTATAATTTCTAGAAGATGAAAAGGTCAGGTAAAATAACAGATTTGTTCCAATTAAGAACAAATAAATTGCGAAAGACAACTGATACTAACAACATAGGAAATATCGAAAGCGTCGAAAATGAAAATGTAGTTTCTACGTCAATAAATTTCGATTCTCAAGACATTGGTAGTGAAAATTTTGATTTTTTGAGTTTTGAACTTATTTTTAATTTGTAGTCACCGATTCGATAATTTCCTATAATCAATATTGTTTGTCATAAATAAATATATTTATATAGGTACTGATAAAGTGAAATACCCGCATGAGGCCACGAGTCTCGAAACTCCAATATTAAAAGTAATAACACTAAGTAATAAAATTATTATTAAAAGAAGTGTTAGAAAGACTCGAAAACGATTCAGCAATAAGCATAGAAAAATGTATAGATATATTTTCCCAGGTCTCGGTACAGAATGATTTAATATTTCTAAAATCGCATTTTTTCGTTCTTGTTCAAACGATAAAAAATTTAGAAAAATCAAATTTACCATTAATTGAGTCGGTTGAAATGGTACAAAATGTTATATCAAGTATGCAAAGTATTCCTGGCACCAAAGGTTCTGAAATAAAAAATAAAATGCTACAGCTTCAGCAAAAAAATAAAGGATTTAAATTAATGATACAAATTGTAAAAGTTTTAACTGGGGACAACAACGTGACACTTCCTCAAGATGTATCTCCTAGTATAGCTACAGACCTGAAAAATGCTCCTACAACGTCTGTCGATGTTGAGAGACCATTCAGCGTAGGTATATAAGACAATAACCACGGACCGCCGTACTAACTTTATTCCGGAAAATTTAGAAAAATATATTATTGTTCATTCCTTTAAAAACATTGTATAATTTTTTTTTATGCTAATGTTTTGCATGTAATATAACATATAACTATGTAACATAACTACATAAGATAATATAGGTAATTATTAATTAATAATTATATAAATAATAATAAATTATAAATTCATAATCATAATTATTTATCATATTGCATGTTTGATATAAGTTATAACTAAATAACAAATAAAAAAGTTTTAAGATATTATTTATATTTTTTGCTTATTAGTTACTATTATCAATATTTTTCAGAATATTTTGAGAATATTAGGAATATTTTGAGAATATTAAGAATATTTTTAGGAATATTTCATAAATTTCAACTGCATATAAACATCATATTTCAAACGTTTTAACAGAATATAAATCCGGACTCTAAATATAAGAGATAAACATGCATAGTGTCAAACATGTATACCCATCAAACACGATAACAGAATAATAATTATTCTCTTGGATAAAGGGATAAGAATGATAAGGTATTATTACACCTATAAGGTAAAAAATCAATACCTACATATATTTGTAGCTTTTATTTTTTATTTTAATTAATATAAAGAATAATAAAATGCATAATGTATTTTAATAATACAACTAAAAACTAATTAATAATAAAAGTTTAAAGTAAATAAATGTACAAATTATATCGTTTGAATAAAATTATATAGTAATAAACGTATACGATTTGAAATGCTTGTTTGTAATGGGATGCATTTTATAATAGTATTATTATAAACATGTATTGTATTATACTTTATTTAAAATATCTAAAAATTAAAACATAAATACAGAGATGGAAAATATAATAATTTGTTTTTCATTTATACATAATACATAAATAGATAATAATTATTTAACAAGATTAAAAAAATTGACTAAAGCTCGAAAATTGTTCCTAAAATGAAAATGAAAATGAATGTACAACAAAAGTAGTAAACAATGAGAGTGTAAGTTCGACGTTTGTTTTTTTTTTATTAAATTTAGTTTTTTTTAAAAAATAAAGCAATTCTATATTTTTTGTTGAAGTCGAATGTACAAAAAACATGCTAAATATAATATATATAATAATAAGGGCACACTATATTAAAATATTATTAACATTATATTTAAACTTTAATGATCACAGTAGCAACGTTTGTGATTTATAAAATATATAAATTACAGTCGCGATAGACGAATCTATATTATAAACATTGTTTGCACTAGTCTATAGCCAAAAGTGTCCGTATAAAAATCAAATGCGCCTAATAAAGTAATATATCATAAAAAAAGAAAATTTCTGTTGTATTTATAACGAATCGATGTGTAAAATGACCCCACCGATCTAAAAACTTACAATGATAGTTATTATTTAATTTTTTTCCATTTTTCCATTTTTTATTTTTGTTTTATTATTTTTATAAGTCTAGTACCTGTAAATGAGAAAATTCGTCAATACAATTGAAATTGTTATCTAAACATAACTATCTATATTATATTCCTACTACCTCAATCTATGTAATATACGAACTGATCCTCATAATATGGATTATCGTTTTTATAGAAAGAAATAAAGAGTAGGTACATTCACGATGTGGTAGAAATAGTTACTACATAAAGGTATAGTTGTAATACTCGTGTTTAAATAAAATGATTTATTTTTGTCGTATTGATTAAACGAACATTTTATAAATATATAGTTTAGAAGTTATACGTCGAAAAAAATTATTATTATAATCACATTATCAGGTTAAGCTAATAATATTATTATTTATTACTAACTGTGTTTAAAAGGCACTTATTTAGACCCAAGATTAGAGATTGCTTTACAAAATGTTTTTCCAATATTATGCATTGGTCAATTCATAACAAATCAAATATCCACTATTCAGAAGGATGTTTTGAAAATTTTAAAACAAAAAATGAATGGATTTTTTTCATATTTATTCCACAAAGAAAATATTTTTAGAAAAAAAAGATAAACATATAACTTGAAAAACGCGAAATGTAATCGTGTTCATATAAACTTTTTTCCTGTAGGTACTCAGCTTAAAACTCAATGTGCAGACTGTGAAATGACTCCAATAACGACTATAAACTTATTTGTAAATAGATTTTGGTATCTATTGCACTATACTTATATTGGCTATATTATACCACTGAATAAAGACAATTTAAGAACTCTTTTTGGGATACTCTGGAAAAATATTCATTTAGGTAAAAGTATCAGAAACAACTAAGTATATAGGTACTAAACGTATTATTAAATATAAAATGAAAAAAAACAGTTACTTAAATAATAATAGTTATCACTTATAAATCACCTATTGTCTTGTTTCAGGGTACACAAAACTAATAGGGAGCAATAGAACAGTAAATTAAATTAAATATTTTATTTATTTCCGATTCGTAATTGAACGTAAGCGGGTTGTTTTCATTTGTAAATGATAATGTTGAAAACACTGTAAAGTACCTATGTCCTATACACATGAAGATTTTATTTAGAATTTAGTAATTGTTAAAAAAATGTCAAGTAGTCAGCTTCTTATTTGTTAGCCTTGACAGATTAAGCTATATAAAGTTTTAAATATTATTTTTATTTTTTAGATTAAAAATCTATTTTTCTTTAACTTGTAATTTGTATGATATTCAATCTAATATAATAGTTGATTAAAACTATATGACATTATTGGTGTTCGAATGAAATGAGAACATATTTTTTCGAATACATAACAATACGGTACACTCAATTTTAACTTTTATTATAATAATTTTTACCTATACATATTTTTTTTTAGAATTTTTTGATATAACGTTTTAAAATTATCCTTGTTATTGGAGGTTATTGGTCCCAATAAAAAAAGAAAATGAAAAAAAAAGTATTCTATTATGAAAAATAATATGTTTTAATTTTAGTCTTATACTTGATTGTTTAATTTTCAAACTAATTTTGGTCACTGTGCGAGCCAGGAAACTTTCAGGGATACGGTTTACAGATTAAAATAAGAAAATATATTTCATATAAATAAAGAAGTTTTTGAAACTTATCGATTTCGAAATGTAAAATAAAAATAAACTGGGTAGATGTTGATTATATTAAAGGTTTGGATTTGTCGTTATTATTATTCTTCGTTTGAACACCGAGTAAATGTTTTTAATTATTGCTTTTTTGAATTACTATCAAATAAACGTTTGAAGAATGTTTACGCTCTGCCACATAAATAAATATAATTTCAATAAATAACAGATTATTTTATTAAAACTATACCTAACACCTATAAGCTCAATTTGTTTTTACCAACTACAACATATTAATATCCATGTAACCCTAAGAATGTATAAAATTCGAATTAATTAAGCCTAAAGGAATCACCAGTCGTTATATAAAAAAAAACTAACAACTAAAATTAATTTTATATTTAAGTTTTTACAAGAGATAGTGATTTAAGTGATTTACACTAAATTACTGACAAAGCATATTTTAACAATTTATAATTGTTAGAATAATTAAATATATTTATAATATTAATTCAAGTACGATTTTTGTATTAAATAGACATAGAAAAATAGTGTTTTAGATTTATTTAACGATAATTATATTTAATTATAATATATTATATTAAATTTTATTGTGCATTAGCCTAAAATTAGGTTCCGTCATAAGAATGCTTCAGACAAGGGTTCTCATAAAAATATTTATTTTCGTCTAAATAGTATTATTATCGTTATTATTATTATTTGTATTTATTATTACAGTTTTTGTCATTCAACAATGACCACGTCATCGAAAGGATAAAATTACCAGATAAAGCTTTTTTTAGTCAAACGGATATGTGTGTATATTAATTTTGCGTGACTGTAAGAAGTTTATTTTGTTCCTTAATAAAATAATAACATTGGTCGGGTGATCTGTGAAAATGAGACGTTTTGATATTCTTTTAAAACGTTTAAACTTGTTCTTCTAAGGCCGGAAACTGTTGTCTGTGCGTCTGGACGTTTAAAAGGTACACCAACTGATCCAGCTTCTTGTCCATAATGGATAGCTAAAACATAAAACAGGGATGGAAAATGTACTGAATATCTAATCAATCTAAAAATAATGAAATTATGAATAACACTCGTGTGGTGTTGGGAAGGACTCCCACCCCCTAACTGAAATATGACATTTTGTAAATAGTGGATATGGCCAAACAAATAATATATTTTCTATAATTTTTATTGTTTAGATAATTCAATTTTACCTGCTGTTCTAGCCTATACAAACGAGCACCAATTGTCATAGGCTTAACATTGCCTGATCGGTCAATTCCTGCCAGGTAGCTTCCTGGCTTTCCGAGAGTTTGATCTAACCTTCTTTGCAATTCCTGAAAAAAAAAAACGATCTTTATTAATGAGACCAATGTTCACGAGGAATGTGCACATATAAATTATAAATGGTCGTTTTTTTAGGAACCAATAAAACCATTAGTTTTGTTAATTAATGTCGGTAATATACGATAGCGTACGATTGTCCCTTTTAGTAAAACGATTGCGTACGATTTCTCTACCTAGGTCTTAAAAACGGTACCGCGAAAAAATAACCCCGGAAATTTAGACCCCGAAAAAATAACCCCGCGAAAAAATAACCACCGACAAAATAACCCCATAGGCCAAATTGCCATAATATGAGATTTTGCAAATTAATCTCAAATCAATACAAAATGTATAACATACCTATTGGCTATTACCTACGTGTACAATATTAATTTTGGATTCAATGATAAATTATTGTATATAGTATATACCCACGATAAAAACAATTCAGAGCTCTACATCAGAACTCTACATCATACGAATTGAAAAATATAGTGCATTTTTTACTGTTTTATACTGTTTACTTGAAAAAAAAAATCAATCTATTTACGAAATAATATTCAAAGCTATTTTATCAGTCTGCGAAAAGAACGATCTTTTTCTAGATCCACAAAATATAAAAATAGACTTCGAAAAAAAATTCTAAAAAATAATAATTTTTACCTATACATATTTTTTTTTAGAATTTTTTGATAGATTATTTTGCATTAATAAATGCATCAAAAAATGTATTAGGTGAACATTTAATAATAAACGGATGTTTCTATCACCTATGCCAGAGTACTCATAGAAAATTGGCAGAATTAGGATTAAAAAAAAAAATACCAAGAAGATTATGATTTTAATGAATTCTGTGGTACCTACCTATGTTAGATGGCTTGGATTTTTTACCACTAAATAGGTTACAAGAAGGTGTTGAATATTTAAAATTAATTATTCCTCCGAGGAGTTATTTCAATATTTTGACGAAACCTACGCGTGATGTGTAACAATACTTCGAATAAATAAAAAATTAAATAAATAAATAAATAATAAATTTTTATTATAGGTTTATTTTTTCCGTGGTTATTTTTTCGTGGGGTTATTTTTTCGGGGTTCTTTTTTTCAGGGTTATTTTTTCCGGGGTTATTTTTTCCGGGGTTATTTTTTAGGCAAATCCTTAAAAACATTACGATTGCGTATGAAAATGAGTGCAACGTTGCCAACATGTACTATTAAATTAAATTAAATTAAATTAAATTATTATTAAATAATAATGATATAATTAAAAAAAATCATTATTATAATATTATAGTCAATTAAAAACAATATAAAATATTTGGGTATATAAAATACAAAAATAATACTCATAAGCTATAAATTAAAACGTTGGTATCGATAACCAGTTCCTCATAAAAAAACATTTTTATAGTCAACTAAAAACTTAAATTATATAAAATACAAATTATAAGTTATAAATCAAAACCTTGGTATCGATAACCAGTCCCTGATAAAAAATTTAATATATTAACATCTATTTTAAATTGGTCGTATAGTTTTATAACATGGTTAATTTTTTGCATATCTTTAGATGGAATAGCTTTTTTTATAATTTTTAAAGAATTCTCCATAGTTACTGCACTATTACTTACTAATACTAAAACTAAAACCAGTGACTTATTGAATGACAAGTTGGTCGCATACTAGTACAACGATGTTAAAGTGTGACACGCGCCAGGAAATCCAATATAATGATCGGCATTTAATCTTATCTCATAGTATTTTATAGATTACCAAAAAGTACCTATTGGCCTGGAAATAATAGTCTCGGTAACGTTTATGAAATTGTATCAAATATAAGCAATCGTTTCCTAAAATAAGTTATATTACAAATTTTCACGATTTTGAACAACGGCACCGTTGGACTAAGTATTGGTAGGTAGAATGTACGCAATCGGAATAATGAAAAAGGTCCATACGGAATCGTATCATAAGCAATCGTAACGCACCCATTAATGTTTTAAACTTTTAAATGTGGACAAATTAATACATATTTAACTATTACATTAGGAAAACAGTTAAATTTTAAATTTACCTTAATCTATTTGATATTATAAATTAAACTATAAATTGTTAAAAACCGACGAATAGAAAAAATTACCCATTTCAAAGTGATTCATAATATTTCAGCGTTAAAAGGGATAATAAAATTATATAGAATACATGGTCAGTAGGTTTTGTTATTGGTTTTGCTTTATATTATTTAGTTCATTAGTTGAGTGTTGATGGGATTATAAAAAGTAGTTTACTTTATTTATTTATTTATTATTTGACCCACTTGTCGAAAAAATAAAATACCACATTGTATCTATGATATACTATATTATATATTTTGCTAATTGCTTATATTATTATACCAATGCCATATAAGTATGAGTGTACCAGTACCTATTAACAACACTTAACAAATGTAATTAATTATAATTTTTGTTTGGACTTTGGTGTATAGTTAAAAACTATATAAATATACTCCGGAACATCTAAAACTTAGTTTTGTTAAAAGCTATTAAAATTTTGTTTTTTGCATTAACAATGTAAAAAGTGCTTGCTTGAAATGGAAGTGCTGTTAAAGAAAAAAATTAACTAAAAATTATAATATTATTTAGTATTATGAAATGGGTAAATTAAATTTTTAATGTACCTACTATTATTTATATAATATGTATTGTCATTTGTCGTATATGTATTAACTATTAACATAACCTTTTGGAATATATAATTTCTTATATATTTTATTAAGATTTTTGAAACACTGCAATTTTTTTTACCTTTATTCGAACCATCATATTTAAATGACCTTGACTGTATTGTTCGATAACATCACGTACATCGTATGGTTTTCTAGCTTGTTGAAATTTTCTTCTGGCTACAAAATATTTGATCTTTCTAATGGCTCGAATAGCATTTTTGTGTACGTCGGTTAACCTATATAACAAATATTAATTTAAAACATATTTGAATTTGTTTTAACTATACACAAAGGTTCTATGTTTCGATTTAATAACTTTGAGATAACAAAAAATAATTATAAAGTAATTTAAATTTGTACTTTTTACTAATCTGTAAAACCGTTAAATAGTTTCATTAAATAAATACTTTTAAATGAAAAACTAAATGAACTTATTATCCGTTTTTGAAGTTTTTCATTAAGCTAAACCGTCGGACATAAGTCATAGGACCTACACTTAGTTACTCATTATCGCATTGTAATAATTATATTTTTATAATATCATACTCGAAAATAATTTAGGTTCTTTTGATGGCACATAATATCATAGATTAAAATGTCTAACTCACGTGGTCACTCGCTCTGGTTCCATTTCCAAGTCGACTTCGTCGCTTGCAGCTTCCGTCACGGAACTCGTCTGGCTGACATATCCTCTAGCTTCTCTTCTAACGCGATTTGGAGTGGCTAAACATGACGGAAAATACACAAATGATAACGATTATAACAATAATTATAATATAAATATTGGGAGAATATATTATTATAATGAGAATGAGGTAAATTTAAATAAATCATTCAAATATAATAAAAAGGAATGTAAAATTGTTGTGTGTAGGTACCTACTTATCCATTTTATAATGTATACTCAATGTTAAGTTTTTCATTGATGAATTTAAAAATTATTATTATTTATTTTTAAATTTAAATTCAAAATTGACTCATAAAAATATGTTCCTCTTCCATATACCTACTTGGAAAAATGTAAATGTTCTCATATTATTCCATTCAAATAATTAATATTAATTTCAGTGAAAATGTATGTAATATATAATATATGTTATACAATTTAGGTCAATACATTAAGTATTAACGATTATTATAAAATAATTTTGAATATTGTACTGACATAATTTTGGAAAATGTATCTGAAATTTGAATAATTATTGACGGTAAGATATCCGAAATAGATTAAAAATTAAAGGTCGTGAAATACCATGTTAATATTATGTCACAAATTATATATTTCTTAACATTACAATATTCATAGTTAAATAGATAAATTATTGTTAGTGACATATTTTTTTTCATACAGGTAGGGAATGAAAAATGATTTATAAATTAAGTATTTGTAGACTGTAGTTAGTTAAATGGAAGCAAATTACATAGTCTAATAATCGAAGAAATGATAGAATTAACACGACCAAGATGAAGACCAAGAATAAAATAAATAAGCCTAATAGTAAAAATGACCTAACCTAACCTAACCTCGTACAGGGAGATAAAATATATGGCGAATGACAGGTAAAAATGGAGAGGTTAATTGTTGTGATTGCATTTGATAAAACCAATCTTCGGATTGAAAAAAAAAATAGTTATTACATTATCTTACAGCATATAATAGCTTTACTTAAATGATATGAAATTTTAAATTAACATATTTTTTTTAATAAATAAGATGTTACCATATTGATTTGATAATTTTAGATTATATTTTATAGAATGAAATGTTTCTTGTATGCAATCTATGAACATTTAATGTAGGTATTTATAAACAAAATTAAAAACTTGGTTGACACTTCACAATAGACTTAGTGTTAGCCCCACCACTATATTCCATAAATCTATTAAAGCAATGTTCTTAGTTGTGACCTTCATAATCGAGTGTGATATAAACAGTCTTGTAAACAATACTTTTATTTTGTATTCAGAATTCATATTCGAATAAATGAGAATTAAGGTATTCAGAATAAGTATTCGAATAGTTCTTAAAAAATATATTCAGAATACATATTTGAATACTATTAGAATACTTTTTTCACAACTATTTTTTGTCAATTTTTGAATGGTTGGTAATTAACAACTATTAATTAATAATTAAAAATACATCGTAATCATAAGTTATTTATACATTTTGACCACATAATATTATATGATAAGGCCGATACGGGCCATATGGGATACAACACATTGGTGTTTATAAAAATAATCATATCATGGGCCAATATTATAGTTTAAGAATAAAATGAATGTTCATGATTTATAATAATATGTCTTGTCACAAATTTAAAACTGTTTTTCTGGATCGGAAAAAAGTATTTTTTTAATGAATAAAAAATACAAATAAAAGTAGGCATTCAAAATACGTATTTGAATATTTAAAAAAAAAAGTATTTAAAATAGTATTCGAGTACAATAAAAGTATTCAAATACTTTTATTCGAATACTTTACAAGTCTGAATATAAATAATTCCATTACCTAACACATAAATGTTTTAGATTCTGAGTGAAATTAATGTATTGATTTTACAATGATGTGTATTTTTTTTGTGTCTGTCATCACGGTTTGGGGCAGTAAAACTGATTCGATTTTCTTCAACAGTATCTTGTTCGATGGGAAAGTGAATCTAATTGGTGCATTCGGGAGGTCAAATTTTAAAATTCCTAATAGTTTTCACAAGTGCCGGGTAAAACAACATAAAAATTAAGAATATTTTTTATTTAAAAAATATTTATTTTGTGATTTTTTATACTACTTAATAATTATGATAATTGACCCATAAAAAAATCCATTGGGTGAAATTTCCCCTTCTCCCCCCCCTCCGTGGACGCTCTTGGTTCCAATTTAAAATCACTCCAATTCACAACATCGTAATAACCCGCACAAATTGATTGGTGAGCACAGCGAACGCTTAGGTGCAATAACAATAGTTATAATAATAATAATATGTGTGTGAATACTTACTCGCTTTGGGTTCTTCTATGTAGAAAACGACTTCGCCGTCACTGTCCCTTCTGGGCGGTGGGGGTAAAGTTTGAGCTTGCGGGCAATCCCTATTATTATTCGTCGCACCGGGTGTGTCCATTTTGCTTTTTGATCTCTTCCGCTTCAAGACGCTGGCGCGCTTCGCTACTTGCATGATCAAAGACTATACACGCAAACACGACATGGAACACAACGTATTATTATTTATACTTTTGTACCTCAGTATTTGGGTGTAAGTGACTAACTTTACTCAACGACGAGTTATCTTTCGGGTGTCCCGGTTCCTTGATGTAAATGTCCCAAGTGGCTTGGCTGTTGAAACATTTATCCGCCGCGTAGCACCTCCACAGGCATTGTATCAGCATCGCGGCCGCAGGTATTTGCCGGTTGAAATGCTTCTGCCGTTGTTTTTGCTGCACTTTTAATGCGAACCCAGAACCCAATATGCCCCTATAATAATATGCAACACTTATAAAAAGGGTTTTGAATCATAAGATAATATGTACTATGATACAGGTATATCTCGCCCCACCAACCAAGAAGGGGTGTACTTGCATCTAACAATAAAACCCCACAGATCGAAAAGCAAGATATAAGTATAAAAGGTATGCTGTCCCATTTTTTGAATTTTAAAGCAACTACCTATCAAGAGAAATAGTTTTGTTCAATAACCCATTTAGTTTAGTTAAACTAATGAAATTAAATGACGAACATTCTGTTTTTTCATCCAGAGTTTTTTTATACATTTTAAATTTGATTATAAATCATAAGTTTAGTTTATATTATTTCTATAACTTATTTTATGTTATAGGTACAAATTATTGTTGTGATTTTTTAAACTTGGCTATTATTTTTTCTATGTTGTTCGTACGAGTGGCTACTTATTTTTTATTTCATATCAAATTTGTATGTATTTAATAATTTTGTTTTAGATTCTGAGAGGATCGATGACAGTATTGATTTTACAATGTTTTTTTGTGTCTGATATCACCTTTTTGGGCAGTAAAATAATTTATTTTCTACTTCACCATCCTTTCCGGTAGAAAGGTGAAGCAAGTTTTACTTGGGATTTTATTTGAAAAATTTCAAATAGTATTTAAAAACGTTAGGAAAAACAGAAAAAAAAATTAAGGAAAAACAGGTATATTTGAGCAAAACGGGTTTTTGACAAAATAGATTTAGTTTTTTTGGTGTAACTCAAAAACAAATGACCGTAGATACTTTAAATTCACACCA